GATATCTCCAATGAATCAAGTACCCACATAATTGAATCCTGGTAATACTATTTTGTCATAGAGGGGTATTAAAAGATGGAATAAACAGAGAATTATATTTAGAACGGAAACATAAGTTTGATTTAAATTTACATTTTATTTGTAGAAGTATTTTATTGACTAAAAGTATGTAGTTCATACACCATAATATCACAGCAACATAGTTAAATTTGGATAGCCTAGAACGAAATGAAATGTACAAGTCTAACATGAAAGTCAGTATGTATGAATTTTTACTTACATATCTAGGTGCTTTAGTTATGGTCCATATTTTTGAGGGAAAAGTTTAAAATTTTTGTAAATAGTTTTTTCTTTTTCAATAACTTACATCCATGAGGAGTTACACGTGAGATTTTATGTAAATATTTAGTTTTTGTCTTAGTTTAAGGGATTGCCAACCATCCTCCAGGAAAGTTCCTAAATGAAGAGGGAGTGAAATGTGATAGCGTCTGGTTAGTAAACCAAGTGCTCTCTAGATATTTCGAAGAAGAGAGACCCAAACGATCACTACTATCGTCTATAAAAAGTCAACAGGCATAGGAAAAAAAAAGTTTGGAGGATTTAGAAAAACAGAGTAAAATAGTCCGAGTTTTTTGTTGGGAATTTTTATAACATAATTAGGATTTTTACAACCATTTCATATATAATATAAGGCCCCATGTCATTCTTCTGTCAAAGGTAAGTCCAACATGGTGTATTGTATCAGACTCAGGAATTTGTTTTTTTTTTCTATATAAATTGGAGGACAGATATTTCTTTAAAGGATGAAGGCTATGTGTTTTGATTTTTCATGGTTTGATCAAATTTGAAATAGTTTTTACTATAATCAGTCAATGTCTGATAGGTATGTTGTAATTATATACTGTTTTTACAAGGAAAGCCGGTATTGAGCTTTGGGTTCTTATGGCAGTGAATTGAAGACCTTTTTAAGCCCTGCCGGATTGAGAAATGATGGCAGACAAAACATTCTTAAAATAACTTTTCAAACAAAAATTTCAACAAAATGATTACAAGACGATATTCCTCTAAGTGTTATAAAGTATTAGAATAACTTCTCTCAAATTGAATGAGTTCCATTTGGCAATATACATGGACAAATACATAAGCAGTTGGATTAATACTAAAATCTCTATATATTATTCCATTAGGAAAATCTATTTTTAAAAAAATCAGCTGCCCATAAACAAAATGAAACATCTTCAACTGAAAAACAAGTAATATTGTTATATTGATGAGTTTTAATTACAGACAGAAATTGAAACGAAAATAAGGGTCTAACTTGGCAAAATGCTTTGTCAATTTAATTTTTAAATTACTATGGTCATTCAAGACTGAGACGACAAGAAACCGCTCGATGTTTCCAATTATTTCAGCAATTACTAGACAAAAGCTCTAAACTTCCAATTAATTACAAAAGACTCATATACATGACTATAATAAAGCCTATTTGGACTTACGGAGTTGAGCTATGGGGCTCCACTAAACCATCGAATTCCTCTTGTATCCAATCCTTACATTCCAAAATCCTTCATAAAATCCTCAATGCTCCCTACTTATTTACAAATAAAACCATCCATAATGACCTTAATGTTTCAGATCTGGTCCAATGCAGATACCTATCCTTCCATAATAAACTTCAGAATCATCCCAACCCTCTCGTTTCGTTTCTAACCTTGCTTCCTATTCAATTGCTGATAACCCTTCAAGGTGTCTGAAAAGAAGATGGCCACGTGATCTCCGAATGTAGACATATCATTAGAGTGCTACCATTGGGTAGTTACTCAGCAAGTGTTTTCATGTCATTATATCCATATGTTCAAATTTACTAGATGTATTTATTTAATACAGTTGTAAATGTCATTAAGAAATGATAATAAAAAAAAAAAAAAGATTAGTATGGAAATTTGGGCTAAAAGCAAATTAGTCCGTTTTGAATTCTAAAATCTTTTTGAATACTTAAGTCTGTTAAAGAATACTGTTTTCATTATATACAATATTATGTACACTATCCGTTCATAAATTTTGAAAAATCACTTGGATCTTTCATTAAACTGATATAGGAATAAAATAAATATCCAATCCATAGAAAATGAGAAAGATCTAAGAAACACTTTTTTTATTTTTCATTATGCACTTAAAGGTTTTAAAAGGTGTGACATATAAGGATGCTCCTTATACTGGTGATAGGCTATTTTTTTTCTTTTTTAAATTTATTATATATATTGCAAAGGTAGCAAATTTAATTTCAAATAAAATAAAAACATGCAATCAATCATTTTTATCTTGTTTATTTTTAGTAGCATTCCTCTATTTAATCTCATCATACTTCAAAACTATTCCTCCTTTATAACTCTAAGAATTCAAGAATAAATGCCTAATATTTAAATAAATAATTTGTTTATTATGAATCTGTCAATAGATGTCCGTTTAACGAAAAATATTCAGATTATGTTTTGAAAATTATGCATGCCATTCATAAGTTGCAATAGATTTAATATCTAAGATTTAAAAGGAATGGATTTATTTTTAACAACTTATCTTTTTAAGGCACTCTTCAAGTGAAGATAGGAGTTTACTTCATATTTTTAATCCCACAGAAAGTAAATATAACATTGGATATGTGAAGTAAATATGTTTACTGATTTTTGTATTATTTTAGAACTAGATGTAATTTCGAAAAGTTGTAAGTGTTCACTTAAATCACATAATTAATACATTTCAAAATAAGTACGACAATGTTCATATTTCCATATGAAATTTTTATTTAATAAATCCTAATTTCTTTTTACGAATTCCTGTCAGTAGGTTTTTTAAATCCTATAAAAATATGTTTTAATAAAATCCATTTAAATATATATAAACATAGTAATACCTGCAACTTCAGTAGATAAAATCCTAACGTGAGTGTTTTTGTAAGTATTTTTATTTCATATTGAAACCACTGACGAAACGTAAACAACTTAAACATAAAAATAAAAATTTGAATAGATAAGCCAAAACGGAAAAAAATAATAATTACTTTAGCACTGATGCATAATTTTGGACTATGTGTTCTTGATTTCTATCAAAATATTTTTATTCCGTCTTTCTGTTTAATTTTGAACAAATTCAAAAATGTTTTAACAAAGCTTTAAAAATAAAAAAGCATTATTTCATATTCGATTGAAAAGTATTGTAAAGTGATTTAATTTAATAGGACTATATACAATTGAAATTGGAATATTCATATTTTGAGACATTATTTCCATATATAGGGGGGGATGAAATATACAATTCGAGCCAAACATTAACTTTTTATTTCCCAATCAAAGGATTAAAAAACTGCTACATTTCAATCAAAGTATGAATTATTGAGATGCTTGATAATATACTAAAAATTTAATAAAACTTATGGTTTTATTAACTTGAAAAGTGAAATAAATGTCATTAACATTTAATTTTCAAACACGATATTATGGGACAAATAAAATTCTGGTAAAACTTAATTTAATTACACATTCAATTGAGTAATAAAAAGGTAATGTTACTCTAATATTGTGTAAGTCAAATCAAAGACGGGAGTAATGCCTCAAAACATTAGCAAGTAGTGAAATAAATGTTTTAAATAGGATTCGGAAGAAAACCTCATCGCAGTGACAATATCAAATTCTTCCATATTGTGTTAATTAGTTGATTTTTTTTTTAAAGATTTATTATTCTATATTTAAATAAACAGTACTAGACATTAATTTAAATGAGAATTAAGACGTTACGGCTGATCTAAAATCATTTAGCTTAGTATTGAAGGGCTAATGCCTCGAAAAGTTAGCACACGACAGAATCAATATTTTAAATAAATTTTTGCAAGTATAAAACATATACTATATAACTTTTGTGCTGTAAACGTAAAATTTGAAGCTCCTGACATGAGAGTTTCTGTAAATCTAGAGCTAAATTTAAGACAGATAAAATATAGTATGTATCAGAAAAGCATTACAAATCAGAGGTTGAAACTTTTATTGAACTATTTTTAAAAAGTTTCAGGTTTATGGTATAAGTTTAACTTGTCTTAATTTAAGTTCTTAGATCAGAGTCATAATTTGTCTTAAATGTTTTACTCGTGATTCTAATGTGTCATTTGTTCAAGTAGCTAGGAATAAATTCATATCTTAGATCGTCTTTTTTGCGAAATCAACAGAAATTTAAAATAAAAGTTCTTTAAAACCTTTACTTAAAAAGTTACAAGGGAAAAAGTACCATATACAAAAGAAATGAAAAATGATCAACAATGAAAATTCAAGTGATACTGAAACTTTTTTAAAAATAGAAGTTTTTTCTCCGCTTTAATCCCTAATACAAACAATTATTATACTAAAAAATAAGAATGTTACATTATCATTTAATGTAAAAAAAAAACTAATGACTTGTGGAAATTATTCAGTCAATCGTTTCTAAAGCTTAATCACAAGATAAATATAAATGAATTATAAACATGGAAAAGTTATTTAAAAATAGATATTACCTCCCACTGCAAGCCTTAGGGACAAGTTGATACTGGACATATTTAGCTTTCCTATAAGTTGTGATGACATTTAACATATTAAATATATCCAACGTCCACCAAATGAACTTTGTCACACACTTGTAAATATTCGTAATAACCATTAATGTTGTTTTTATCTACTAAGACGTATAAGGGAAAGAGGGGCACAATGGAGGTCTCGAAAGACATTAAAAACTAAAGCCAGATAACAAACAAGATGAAATTAACATACTTTCAGATACTAAGCCCATTGAAAGTCAAAGATTAGATAAAACGTGCACTCCGCATTTCGGCCGAAAGGAAATAGGATAAGTATTTTATATAAAAAAAACAAAACAAATAAAAGATAATAAAACAAACAAAATATCAATTCCAAATATTTCAAGCGTTAGTAAAAACTGTTTATAAATACCCTACTTCATTTTTTTTTTTTTTTTTTTTTGTATTTACTATTTTCTATCCACAATAAATCAATTGTTATAAGTCCTAAAAATCAAGATTTGAAATAAAACAAATGATCTCAGAAAACAAACCAATGATCATAATATTTATGTTTATAACAGTCCACGATTTACATAAACATAACTGATTCGGATTAATATCAAACAATGGATGATGATTTTTAATTTTCAACCTGCTTAATCAATCAATTCTTTTCTATAAGAAATGATAATATGCATTATTACTATTTAAAAAAAAAACAAATTGTAGGTTGCTACCAAAGTATCTAACAAAACAAGAAAAATACTGTTAAGCCAGGTATCAGACTTGCTGATGACTAAAACAACTATGATTTTCGGAATCAAATTAACAGTTTAAAATAGTTGGAGAACTTCGTACTTTTATTTATAATTACTACTTTTATCATATTTTATTTATATTCATACATTGTAAAATTATAAGCATGTTTTTGAGATTAATATAAATCCATTTAATTTTATAATAGAATAAAAAAATATCTACATAAAATGTATCTGGTTGTGTCATATGAATGGCCATGGGAGAGACATTAAATAAAATATGAATGAATAAAATGAAATTTTATTGATTAATAAGCCAACCATCACCAAATAGAGATAAATAACTTTATTATAATTTAAAATGAATTCTTCAAAGGATCAACGATTATCCATTCTGATAACCATGCAAAATTTTAGAAGCTTAAAAATCAAAATTCTTCATTGCCTAATAGAACAATTAATCAGCGGCCACTTTATTCTAAAATACTGAACTAATTCCAAACAACTCGAAGCTTTCATAAATAGAGAATTGAAAGAATTGTACAGAAAACAAAGAATAGATTTTGATCAATTGATTTAAATTTTAAATATTCGTGTTTTAATAATAATACATATGCTTGCTTAGTTTTAGTTGTATTGGGCAGTCATTAAATTTTAGTAGTAGATAGTTATATACTTATATACAATGGCCGAGTACCTCAGAGCATTAGTCCCACAGTGTGGTTGGTTTTGAACGTTGTGGGTTCAAGTCAACCTTTATCAGTTAATATTATTTCTGAGTAGCCCCAAGAAATTAATTTTGATATTCTCACTCTATTTAGAATCTCTAACCAATAAGTAGCCGTCAGAAGTTGACAAAAAGGATCACTTGCTAGACTAGTTTTCTCCATCGTTACCAGTACCAGTAAATACTAATAAATAATTTTTTATAAAATGAATATAATGATGAACTTTCCATACAAAATATAATTTTAAAGTGCAACTGATAATTAAAATCAATAAAAATATTAATATAATTATTAGTAATTTGAAAAAAAGTATATTTAAAAAATCAAAAAATTGATTCAATCAAACAAAATTTATGGAAGCAAAGCTTAGATTAGTTATTTATAACTTGAGAAAATTGCTGACTCGGTTTTTAATTCAGTTGTTTCTTAATTCAGTGCTTAATAATAATACTGAAGTATTAAGTTTAGATATTGACCGATCTCCTGAGACAATCAGATGTCATTTCCTATGATGGATGTTATGAGTTAACAACAGGAAAACAAAACAGCGATATAATAATCTCTGATTTCCCAGGTAATGAGATAAGATAAGGCACATTTTCAGAATGGACACAGATACCAACGATCTGGCAGGAGTACAGGAAAATAAACTCGAGGTGAAACAAAAATAAGGAAGTTCAAGAAGTTTATGGGAAGAAAAAGACGACATAAACAGTAGGAAGTTGAGCAATTACGATAAGGGATTTATTCGTGGGGAATACGTCATAAAAATGAAAAAGTTAAACACAAGGTAATAAACACTATAATCTAGCAATATATGAAACAATTCAGTGTGAAATTATTAATAAAATAATGTTTATTTATAAGTGAGGATATCATTTAAAACGTTAAATTTTGTTAGAAATCAGTTTAGATTTCATACTTAGGATTAAATCTTATTTCAATTATAATTTACATTAACTGTTTCTAATTTTACTTCAAGTTTACATATAAATTAATATTTTAGACAAAATCGATGAAACCGAAAACTATAAAAAATATAATTGATAAGTATAAAATAAAAACTAAATATTTTCTAATTTAATTAAAGTTTAATCTAATTAAATAGAGTAAGGCCATATCATAGTTGTAAAACAGAAAAACGAAACAGTCAATTAAAGACTTATTATTCTAAAGCTAAAGAAAGAAAAAAATTATCTTCCTACCGGCAAATAATATTCAATCACTTCTTATTTCTTCATCAGCAAATAAAATATTTGGTATGTAAGAAGTATCTAAATAAAAAATATACATGTGTAACAAACTTTCAAATCACTACATTATTCAAGATAATGTTATATCAAATTTGTTTTGTAGCCAAGAAGTGCAAATGATTTAAATTTTCGAGAGACCAAAATACGATAACTGTATATTATGGAAACCTTTAATCTCGTATTGTGCCCACAACTTAACTTAGGAGTAGACATTATGGCCCAAGGACATGACAGGACTGACTTGCTAGAAAAGATGTGATAAGATAAGTCACTTTGTGTTGTGAGTCCTCTACAAAACCTATGCAAGAGAGTGAAGAGATCACACCGAAACCTGGTAACGTAGAGACATGTAACCAGATTGGTGGTGAGGCTCCACTCTGAACTCTGTACTCTTAGGTATGTACCTTGCCCAAGAACATTCATCAGCAGACACCTAACCTACAGATAAGTATTCAAAACTATTGATCTTTTCAGCATAAACTTTTGGCTCACTGTATACAACTGGCTGAAATCTTTATGCTTATATGATACAGATATTCCAAGCAGGGTATCTACTATAATATTTGTTTTTGTTTTTTTAATTGCCATTAAGCCATGAAAGTATACTAATATAAAACTATGAAAATTGGCAAATATGAATTGTAAAAAATATCATCAAGTTAAAAATAAAATCGTAAATGGAAGTTACATGATTTTTTTATGAGAATAACAATACTTTAATTGAAGCTTGATAATACCAGATTTAAATTTAAATTCAATAAAAAAGACATCTTCCTGTATAATTCTTTATTTTTTTTTCCCTCTCTGCGCAACCAATTTCGGTTTTGATCAGACCTTCATCAGGCTAACTTATGGTGGTCCTCCTCTCCTGCTTGTTAAATGAGTCCTCATTTTGGGTTGCGCAGAGAGGGAAAAATAAGGAATTATACAGAAAGACGTATTTTTAACTGAATTTAGAATAACAGTATGTCAACTGCTGCAATTTTTTTAATTTGATACACTTATTTATCATCTTATTTTTAAAACATGATAGATATATATCAATATTAACTATAGTTAAAGAGGATGGTTGGGGTGATCAGTCAGAATAAAAATAAATAATTATATTAATATTACCTTATTATATATACCTTATTATTATATAAGGTAACATAAGAAATGAAAAATGGTAATCTTATTCTCTGTTTTACATTTTATTCTAAGATTACCATTTTTCATTCCTTATTTTGATTATGTTTATTTCATTAGTCCGTACTTTGTTACCGTTATTATTATTTATTTCTTAGTTCTCTGTTAGTTTTTTCTACCAACATTTTTAGTCTATACCTTTCACCTTTTTAATTTTAATTCTTTATTATTCAATGTTTATAGTTTCTCATACCTATTGTTATCTGGTTCTTTTCTTAGCCTTGAACTTCGGGCCAAAACATTGGCAAATATAAAAATAAATATAATTATTTATTTTTACTACTTTTATTTTGACTGATCATCCCTATCATCCTTCTCTTTAATTATTCACTACAGTCAACCATCAACCCACAAATATTAACCATAATTGTTAATAAATAAATTACATAACATTATATGAGAAGGAGTTAGTCGAGGGTGCGGTCAAATAAATAAAAAAATTAAAATATATAAATAATTTTAATTTTTGCCGACGTTTCGGGGCCAGTGTTTCAACTGCCTCCCGCAGTGCCACATCCAACGCCCTGAAGATGACCTGCAAAGTGGGTCGAAACGTCGGCAAAAATTAAAATTATTTATATATATATTTTTTTTTTTTATTTTTTTTTTTTTTTATTTATTTGACCGCACCCTTGACTAACTCCTTCTCATATCATATCAACGGTCAACCATCTCTACATCACATAACATTATACATTAATTTTATACTGATACAAGAGAGTACGCAGCTTTCTTATTGGGAGAGGAGAACAAGACGGAAAATCTCAGATAAATGATTTGAAACTTTATACTATTTGACTAAGAAGTTTATTATTGTTACAATTTATTATTATTTTTATATGAAATACAATATAAACATGGAACAATTTTTATAAATTAATTTTCAACCAACCCTTTATATTATATTATGTTTTATTTCATCTCAAATTATTTAGGTGGGTCAATGCCCTCCCTCCCCCGCGTACGCCAATGTACTGATAAACTTCATTACATACACAGTTCATGTTATTGTGGAATATTTAACTTGAATATTTTTATTACGTTTATTTGGCTTATTTATTTTTTATCTCCTCCTTTCATTTCATTCATAAACACAAATTTCAAATATAATAATAATTTCAATGCAATTTCATCATAGTGTACTAGAATCTTTCATCTTGTTTTGCTTATCCCTGTTGAAGGATTACAAGTAAGGCCAAAATATCGGTACATATTAAAATTAATTTTTTTTTTATTATAACTTTTGAAGATGATTTTTACTTTGGTATCGACCAAAATTTTAAAATAATATAATTGTTATCTTAAGTAAAACAATTGCAGTGGTCAATATTCTATTTACATTAGCAAAAAAACTCCCGAGTTTTGTTGGGAAGAAACATCTTTGTTGCACAGCCTTATGATTGAAGTGCTATGA